CTCTGAGGGTATAACCAGACCAGATGTTAGAACCAAAGCCTGCTTTGATTGAGCTGTGACCAAGGATCCGGTCATAGTTTGAAACACAGGTAGCTTCATGAGGAACTCTTTCTCTTGACCTGAGAGGACATTTAGATCTGACAAATAATCTTTCAGATTTTCTCTTGTCTTTTGAGACTCAGACTTCACAATGCTGATGACTTTCTTAGAGTCTAAATTCATCAACACCTTCATGACGCTCCTTGGAGATGGGGTCAGGACATAAGTTTCAAGGTCTTCATGTTTAAGCCACTCATTTCCTCTCACCACTGTGCCACCAGTTTTGGTCACCAGCTGAGCTATTTGGTCAGGCAAACTGTTCTGTCCTCGTTCCTGAAAAATGAGGGTTGTCTTCTGTTGTAGCTTTGCCAGTGATACAGGCTGACTGTTCGAGAGGGGACTGACGGGTATCAGAGGTATTTCCCTGAAACAGCTTAACTCACTGAAATGAGAGTTCAGAAACCTCCAGAATTCCTGAAGCCAATCTAATGGTGGATGGTCACTTCTGTTGGTGTTCCAAGCAACGAGCCTTTTCTCCATCTGCTTCCAGTCCTGTGGTAGAAATTTTCTTGTATATTCCTCTACATGTTTTTTATTAGTGTTGATGACTCGGAATACCCCTGGAAAACAGATAAATAACACAATCATATAGAAAAATTACTTAAAAAAAAGGAAAGCAAATAACTTTCATGTGGAATCACATAGGCAACATAACATTTGTTTATAAAAGTCAAAGTCAACGTAACATACCCAGCTTGGCCAGCTCTTCCAGGTGGTTTCTGCAAGTTGAATGTAGATCATGGGGGATGAAGAGGTGATTGCAGTATGGTAGAAGTGTTCTGCAAAACATACATTATTTTATTGTGNTGGTAGAAATTTTCTTGTATATTCCTCTACATTTTTTTTATTAGTGTTGATGACTCGGAATATCCCTGGAAAACAGTTAAAAAAAAGAAACTGTATAGAAAAATTACTTCAAAAAAAGGAAAACAAATACCATTTATGTGGAATCACATGGGCAACGTAACATTTGTTTATAAACGTCAAAGTCAATGTAACATACCCAGCTTGGCCAGCTCTTCCAGGTGGTTTCTGCAAGTTGAACTTAGATCAAGGGGGATGAAGAGGTGATTGCAGTATGGCAGAAGTGTTCTGCAAAAACATACATTATTTTATTGTGGTTGATATGCATTTAACAAAAAATTAAGTTTAGCTTCAGTGACAAAAGTCTTACCTACAAAAAAACACCAGTAAAACAGAAATAATCAAATAGAATAATCTAAAGTGTAAAACAATGCTTTTTTGATAATGAGACAGTTGTGCTTATGAAGACTAAAAATTATAAATTTATTAGTGAATAATCAAACTGCAAAGAGGAGTCGTATGTAGCTCTCTTTTTGTTTGCGCCAACATGAAATGTCGTAGAAGACTAGGTGCTGTGCTATTGGGGAAAAATGAGTACAAGGGCATCACAGAAGGCATACCAATAAGTGTGGCACAGGTTTTTGCCTGTGCTGGCAACAAAAACACTGAAGAGGTTTTTGTTGCCAGTACTGGACTTTTCCACCTGAATAAATGCTATCAAATCTGTGAAAGCATACATGCTACTACAATAAAATTGTAGTTGAATTAGCATTTTACACATCTAAATTGTAAAGTGCAATATCCTTAAGAAAAAGATGAAGCCTGCGAGAACAAGCACTCTGAAATGTAGCTGGGTTTCAACCAAAAATATGTCTGGAGTGAAATAACAGTTCTAACCATTGAATAGACATGTTTTCATGCAAAATCCAGTTTTAAAATCAACATAAATATAGCAACAGACACATCAGACAAACTATAACTTACCTTGGAAATTCCTTGTTGTCAATCAAAGCAGTGTCCTCCTCTTTCTTTGTGAAAGATCTGAAAGATCCATCACTGAGAGGAAGTAGCTGAAGTCCCTCCAGTTCTTTGTATTTTCCATCACTCAGTATGTATTCCAAAATACACAGTTTATCTTCTTTACTGATGTTATGAACACCAGACCTGTGGAGAACCTCTCTTAGGAAGCAGGGAGTCACATGCTGTGGGTTGGTGTGTGTAAAGGTCTCAATGGCTCTGATT